GGTGGGGCTCACACAAGAAAAAACGATCTGTCAGACATGATTTGACTGGGCTTAAGCGACAGTGACTCTGCATGTGCAAGACTTGCACATAAAGGACTAAGGCAATAGCGTTTTTCGAGACTTGCCTATCATTGGTTGGCAAGGTTGGTTGCAAAGCCTTTGATTGCCTTAAGTCGCCCAGTAGCCCGGACCTTTATAGCATATCAGATGGTCCGTCTTACGGGGCACGTGGCTGATCGCAACGAGGAGAAAGGTCACACTTGAGTATCCTATTAGACATCTGCAACTGATTTGCCCACAATGCGACTCAAAGCTGGCTCTGCATGGATGGAAAAGGCTCGACTCACGAGAACATGGGGTGCCCCCTCAGTCGTGACGCAATTGCTCACAACCCGACCGGCCCATGGGCACTGGCGAGGCTACATGTCTTAACCGGAACACTGCAAATTGGGGCTAGATTGAGCCTGAAGGACCCATACTTGGGCTGGCTCCGGCGCCGGTTAAAAGCACTAACGCGATAAGTGACCACCTGGCGGTCGGGCAATGGGAAAATTAAATCGCAACCGAACTGGCTTGAACGTGTCCAGCCCACTTGATTAAAGCAGAAGCAAAGCGAAGAAGGGGAGGAGTTGGACAGAAATATAAGGGGATTTGGATACTAAGACGCAAGGGCCAGAGAATTGGGTAAATTGTAGAACATATGGAGGAACGGCTCGCGTAAATCCTGGCTTGGGGTGGGCTCAGTGTACGAAGAGAATGCGTGGTACCTTTTCGTTCATCAAGGGCCAAAAGCTTGACTTTACTGAGAACTTGTCGACATTGAATAGGCCCCATTGTTCGTCATTGTTCACCATTTCATGCATACAATAGACTATGAGAGGTTATATCCAGGTTTAAGGGACCCATTGTCTGAGGCAAAATTGCTATGTTCACGAAAGAGTATGATTTCTGTTGAAAGTCCTGTGCATTTCCAACTCATTTGCCTACACTTTAAGCACTCTAGGTTGGTTGAAATGAAGTGTGAAGCAGTGGGGCGTAAGCAAAACTTTCATACATTTTGGCTGAACGGGCGTATTGGTGACTTCACGCAGGGCTGGGATCTATCGAACGACCTGTTTCTTCGTCAGATACGTTGAGGGTTAGGGCAAGTGATTAACGGCTTTTTACAATTGACAATAATTGCATATCTTTCACAATACCAGTGTAGAATTCCGGCTTCGGACCCAA